CACGTGCCATTCTTGAAAGTAACGGAAACTTCTTCGTGTTCCCTTTCCACCATGCTAGTAGATCAAATTCAGACTCATCAATATCATATTGTTGCTCCAGATACACACTCAGCTCATTAGAATTAGCTGATCGTTTCGATTCATGTGACATTACAACTTGTTGTTTCCAAAATTCGCAACCTGGAAAACGCTTAGATGTTGTTGATGAAGCAGAAGAGCTAGGAGCAATTGGGGCCTGTTTGGGTTCAGCTGCAACTTCATAACCTGAATAAATCTTATTAGCTAATTTCAATAAATCATCTTTATGAGAACACAAATCTTTTTCACCATAGTTCAAATCCAAATTCTGATATAAACATTTCAATGACATTTCTATATGCTCTAATTTCATCATAGGGTCTAGCAGTGCACCAAGTAAATATATAGGATGTACAGGGATAAAATGTTTGATAAATTCAGCTTTCATATCAGGCAAAAACTCACTAAAGAATAGATTATCCTTATATTTTAAGAATATCGAAGATATGTCACTCAAATAAACAAGTACGGAATTACAGGTAGGATTATAAGAACCAGAAAAATGTGAAACGGCACTATGAAACTTTTGTAAACAATCAACCAACACTTCACAGATATTCCAATTTATGTCAGTCTTTTCATAATCGTCATCATTATTCATAGATTTAATTTCATCATCGTCAGCAGCATCAGCAACAATAGCTTCATTGAAAGCTTCTGTAAGAATATCTTTCTGTTTCAAAGCGCGGACCAACATATCATAAGTAGTATTCCATCTAGTCGGAATATCAAGTATTTGAGATTTCATTATGTGTTTATCAGCTAAACACCTTCTGCTAAATTCTGTATTTCTATAACTACAACATATAATATAACGCATCGCTCTTCTTATTTTCTTAATTTCAGATTCAAAATGAGTAATTCCATCTCTAACAATTGAATTCAGAATCTGACATGCGCATCTAACACTTTTATGATTCAATTCCCGCCCAGCTGATTCGTTAGTATTCTTACTCATTTTGTCTTTAAAATACCAATTCACAGCAAATACCCTATCATTTATACTGTAACTATACATCAATTTAGCCATTATCTTAATAACTGTATCAACATTGCGAAACTCCTTAGTTAATCCTGTTTGATATGCTAAAATCCGTTTTTGCATAATAAAGTTATCATCAATCCAACAAGCAGTGAAGCATACAATGTCTATTCCTGAACATTCAGTGGGAACTATGTCAATACCTAATGCTACACTACAAGAAAGAGACTTAAAATTTTCAATGAGATGACTTCGACACTTAAAAAACGGTTTTCTGATTTCCGATATGATAACTCTCCTAGGAATAGGCTTATACGCTGGAAAATGAGCATACCGCATATAAATTACAAGAGATCTTATGAAATTTCTAGTATAAAGTATTTTGATTCAACACATAACAATTTAACAAGTTCAGCACGATCAATTTCTTCTGAATATTCAGCGGGATAGTAGAAAATTTGAATGTTTTTTTCTAGAGAATCAGTGAAACTCGTACTGTAAAGTGCCTCAACAATTATAAATTTAGCTAGTTCCCATCTGTCACGTTTTTGACAATATTTAAATTGTTCACCAGTATTAGGATCAATTTTGAATTGTACAGCATTACTATCACAACTTTCATTAACAGAATCAACATCATCATGAGCACGCATAATTTTTAGTCGTTTATTACTGGGTGATGCAGACATTGTTAGATAATTAATTAATCAAACGAGAGAGAAAAAAAAAATGTAGAGATGAAACGATTGTACCAAATTTGACGAAACACAACAAAAATATGTAATTAAAATAAGCTTGGTGTAAGAAAGAGTTTTACTTTATCAAATTTTCTAAATATTTTTGGTTAGAGTCATAACTTATATTTTTTATATAAAACAAAACTTTTTCTTACACTTTATTAAGTGTATAAAGTAGAACTTTTGCTTATACTTGATAAAGTGGAAGAAAATTTCTTAATTTGTAAAAAATTGGAACTTTAAATGGTAGCCTAGTAAAAAAATAATTGAAAAAAAATTGGAACTTTAAATGGTAGCCTAGTAAAAAAAATAATTGAATGATTAGCATTGTGTTTGGGAGGACAATTATAATAAATGGTATTTCCTTCATGTATAATTTCGTCATCTCAATAAATTGAAACTTCAATTTTAGGGGTAGAAGACATTTTTTTATATATTGAAATGAAGAAAAATAGAAGACTTTATGTTGTAGTTGCTATCAACTATGTTTAAACGTCCTTAAATAGAGATTGGAAGATTTTTCAGAATAAAAAAATAAAAATATATTATGTAGCTTTTTTCCTTTTTATGATATGTCAAATCATATAATTGTACAAAACTTTGAAAACGCTTCTTCAAAGTGTGAAATATATTCCTCTTATAAAGTGTAAGCTTTTCTTTCACTTTATAAAGTGTAATAAAATGTTCCACTTGTAAAGTGGAAAAAAATTCCTTTATATTAAAATACACATTAAGACACTAACGAAAAACGTCTAGAAAATTAGATAAAGTGAAATTTTTTTCTTCCACTAAACTTATTTTTGTTACATACTAAATAATGACTTATTTTGATTACTTTTATATTTTTGTGACTTATTTAGGTTCCGAACTCGCTACTTCACTTTTAGCTTATCAAGTTTTTATTTTTTGAATGTTATTTAACACAAATTCTGACTTAACATCTCTATTTGGATGGTTTTTTCTTATTTTGGTTTTAAAATAAGTATTTAAAAATGTTATTTTATTTTTTACTTAAACACAATAAAAATGCATTGATTTAAGAACATTTAAAATGAGTAAATTCAAATAGATTAAAGTTGTAATTTTTATTATTTTCATCTTATTAAAATGAAAAAGATTATAACTTACAACATTTTTGAATAATTTTTGAACATTAGAATTTAAAATACTTAGTTTAGCTCTAAAGAATAATTAAATTAATTCTCGTGAAATTTAAAATGACAAGTAAAACTAAATGGTAGGAGAATAATGGGGATAACTATTAAGAATTAATTATGAGTTTGTTACAACGAATGTGTTCAAGAAATTTTTTCCTATGATGTTTATTTATGGATAATTTTTGACATCAATTGATCAATCTAAAAAGTAAGAAATGTTTGGAATATAGTATAACTTATTGAAATGAATGTATATGATTAAAATAAATGATATATTTTTTATATGAGTTAAACTATATGAAGTTTTATGTGTTAAACTAGATGAAGTTTTAAATAATATGAGTTAAACTATATGAAGTTTTATCAATATTTAAGAAGCATGTTTTGGATGATTTCTATCTTTTTTTATTATTTTTATTTATCTACTATCTCAAAAATAATTTTTCACTTCTGCTTTTCACATTTTATGTTTCAAGAAAAGATTTTTAAGATTTTTAATATTTTCTATTGTCGTAACATCCTTGACTTAATTAGCCAATGTTGACTGATTTTTTAAGTCTTAAGATCTGTATTTATAAAATATTGATACGGACGAATATTGATATTATTTATTACAAGCTTGATGAGTTAATTTACTTGGTAATATTAGATTCACCTTTGGGCTACTATTACATTTAAGCATAATATATATATTAGATTTTAAATTTAGTTTCAAATTTTAATTTTGACCTTTAACTTTCATAATGTACAAATAGACACTTTAACTATCCTATCTTTCAATAAAATAAACACGCGATTTTGAAGCCAAATTGCGTGAAATGCAAATTCTCTCACATGTATTAGTGAGTCAATCAGTGACTGCCAACTAATTAAACATTTTACGCGTCTTTTTTTAAAAAAAAAAAATCTTACATGTCATTTTGAAATTAAAATTAATTGTAATTAATATAAAAGAGATTCATTAGGAGTAGAATATCATTTCAACATTTTTTTTAGGGAAAATTTCATATATGGCAAACTTATTAGATTAAATAACATTATATGGGTATAGTTTATCTAATTACTTTATATGGGTATAGTTTAGTTATTTTAGGTATCTTTAATTTTGTATATAATGTTTTTTTTTTATATACAATTATATTTTAAAAAGTGGTTTGTAACTGAAGCGTTAAATATGCTAACAATAAATTTAGATAATGCCACAATTTTAGGGAAACGTCCCTTTTTTTAAGCTAAACGTTCAAATTCAAAAATACATACATATATATATATATATATATATATATATATATATATATATGAACTTACCTTTTTTTGTATATTTATATATGTACATGAATATATTAGTTAAACGTGACATTATATACAAGTTTCTAAATGACTTTTTATATACTCCAATAATATATAAAGTTAATATATACTAACTTCAATAATTTGTATATAACTACTACAATATACAAATTATAATCGCATATGATATTTTCCCGTCTATATAACTAAATCCAATTACTTTGTGTACATATGTATATAAAAAAAATAATGAGCCTTTCATATACAATTCCCTACTACCAGCTATTAAAACAGACATGTACATATCAATTTTTGTATATGCATATAAACTTAATATATACTAACTTCAATAATTTGTATATAACTAATAGAATATACAAATTCTAATCATATATAAAAAAAATTCATCTGTATAACTAAGTCCAATTACTTTTTTGTATATATATACAAAAAACAAAAATAACATAAATATGCAATATACTATATACAATTACTAAACATGCAATTATACTATATACAATACTTAAGTAATATTTTTTGTATATTGACATCTAATTAACCAAAAAATTGTATCTAACTTTGTGTTTTAATACAGTACCTCATGAATATTATGTTCATCAGATCCGACAACTTCAGAAGCATTTTCCTCTGATTCAATGTTTACAGCTTTCCTCTTTCTTCTTCCTTGTACTATTTTAATGCCTCTAGCATGGCATTGTTAATAGCTTGTTGAACTGCCGTAGGGTCGTTTTTTTCCTTTGATCTAAGCTCTTCCATTGTTTGTTCTTGTATAACTTGATTTGATTTTCCCAATGACCCTACATCAAACCCAAAATCTTGAGTTAACCCTATTGAAAACGATGGTAAAATGTCAACAACATTGACATGCAAAGGAATACCTCTGGTAATCCTCAAAGATGAAGATGATTCATTCATTGTGTAACCAATTTTAGATCTATCAAGAACAAAAAATCGATTATTTCATCAAAATATATGGAGAAAAAAATAAACAGAACACATATACAAATTTTGAATAAGTAAAAAAAAAGAAGAGGTAAATAACTAAAATTAAGGAGTACTTACGAAATTGACTTCAACTTTGGAAGGGAACTTCAACTTCGAGAGGGAGTAATCTAATTTTGGACAACAATTTGAATTTCAAACCGGATAGCTAGAGTATTAAATGTAGGAGAAAAATTTGGAATGTGACAAGGAGAGAGAAAATTGTTTTGTGTATAATTATATACAAAATTAGAAAATAATGTTTTTATACGATTATATAATAGGTTGTGGACCCCATTAAATATAGCAAACAAAAATAAACTATAATTATATAAGGTAAATAAATTGTGGGCCTTGAAAATTTTCCCTCACTCGCATTTTATGCATTTTGCTAGGTAGGTTTCACGTGTTTATTTATTAAAAGATAGGATAATTGAAGTGCCTATTTATACACTTAAAAATTTGAGATTAAAATTAAAATTTAAAGCCAAATTTAGAGTTAAATATATATATCATGCCTTACATTTATAATGCGGTGGAAATCTGGAAATTGTATAGTTTGTATATTCAATTTTTCTTGGCCAGGTTATGAGTTGGTTCAGATTTTTTGTTTGTTGTTTTTTCTTCATAAGAATGAAATATCTCATTCTTCATTTTGCTCAGGAGGCAAAGATGTATATCCTTCATGTACTTTGATATTTTTATGATACAAAAGTTAGGTTGAGTCCCTACTTTAACCCTTTAATTATTTGACAGACTCAATTTAAAAGAACATTAAAATTTAAAGGAGAATCAATCATAAATTATTCACGTGAATAATTATCCTCCGACCCAACTGAATCATCCAACCGATATCGTGCAGAGATTTACGAAGTTTGTTGGTAAGATTACTTGCTACGTCGGTGGCTGCTAAAACACAAAGGGTGTCGGTGCCTATATTTTAGTCCAAACAAATTTAGGTAAACCCCCGTATATCAAGCTCCTATGTTTCCTTTTATTCTTCAAAACATATTAAATAGGAACTATTTTTTTTTTATTTGATTAAACTTTCTGTTTTTACCATACATATTTAAAATTATAAAATTTAATTCTCTATTTACTCAAAGAGGTGATAGGGTCTCAATAGAGATACAGAGATCTGTAATAAGTAGATTAATTACGTATATTCTTATTCCTAAAAGTTATTTTGATACAAAAGATTTAAAAATAAATTTCGTATTAAATTTAAAAAAAATAATAAATTAAAATGAGAAAGTCATGACTTATAATAACGACATTATTTATTATTTCAACTTTTGTGCAATGTTTTCATTTGGAAAGAACGATCGATTTTTAATTTACATTTGAAAATTAAATTTCATATTGTATGAATTTTTGAAATACGAATTCAAAAAAAATTGAAATTTTAAGCGGAGTGATTTTGATTTGTGAATCATTTTGAAGTTCGACACGTGTTCTTGTGAAGAGGTAGTTGGGCCCATGATTAGGAGCCCACAACTTCTTTATAGGTTCCAAAAAGCAAAAAGACTAATTAGCCGGCCCACCTCGATAATCGAGCCCCTTCTCTAATGCCGGTCTTTGCACGTGCCCCCCCCCCCCCCTTTACGTTTCATGTTTCTTCCTAGTACGACGCTTTAATTGCGCCTTAACCAAATCCATTGCAATTTTATATTCATATTTATAGCAAAATTTAATTAAATTTAAATTTAAATTGAAAATTTTCATATTGAAATGTGAAGCGCTCTTAACCATTCATATGGACGTTTTAATTAAAATTTATTTTTATTTTTTGTTTTTATACCTTTAGTTCAATTATCAAATATAAAGGTCATATATTTGCTTGATTTTATTAAACTAACACTTAATATTTTCAAAAATTATACTACTAGATATATTAAGTTCAAACATTCTAAAAAATCAATATCTCAGATAAGTCTTTGACTTAAGATTAAAGACTTGAGTATGTATATTTAATTTATCTTCCTTAATTTGCTCTAGAATTGTCATATCAATGAATATATATTTGTTTTTTTAAAAAAAAAAAAAGGTAAAAGTAGAGGAAAGATATATTCATTTTATTAATTTTTCATGAATCAGAGTCAAAAGATTGATTTAATAATAAAATAAATATAATATTGACCAAGTAAAGTAAAAGTAACCGTCTAATTCACAAGTAACATTTAATTAAAGAAGGATAAAATTGCTTATTCTGTGGGGGTGTATTGGCCCTTTTTCTAACTTTCAAGTTCTATTTTTAAAAAACGAATAGGTTTAATATATTTTCCTTTTGCGTTTGTTTAAAATAAAAAGCCTTTTTTTTTTCTTTTTAGACTTTCTCTCTTTATAAAAAGAAAAATAATTTTAATTTAAAAGCCTATCATTAAAAAAAAATGAAGGGAGTAAATCAATGAGATGTTGTTGCATCATGTGACACAATATGTAGCAATTCCTCTTCTTCTATATAAACTCCGTCTCTATTTACACATTCCTCACACAAACGCTCCCATTTACTCTACACAAAAATGGCAAAGGCTTCTCCTCTTTTGAAAGATGAGCTTGACATAGTGATTCCCACTATTAGAAACCTTGATTTCTTGGAGATGTGGAGACCCTTTTTTGAGCCTTACCATCTTATCATTGTTCAAGATGGTGACCCTTCGAAGGTCATTAAGGTCCCTGAAGGGTTTGATTACGAGCTCTATAATCGTAATGATATAAACAAAATTCTGGGTCCTAAGGCTTCTTGCATCTCGTTCAAGGATTCTGCTTGCCGTTGCTTTGGTTATATGGTCTCTAAGAAGAAATACATTTACACCATTGACGACGATTGCTTTGTAAGTTTACTTATTCTGCTGGGTTTTGATTCGAATTTCATTATCTTGCTAGTCCCTGTTTTTCCCGTCGCATCTGTTTTTATTTCAGAGATAGTGTATTTGTTGTTATTGACAGGTAGCTAAAGACCCAAGTGGCAAAGAAATTAATGCGCTAGAACAACACATTAAGAATCTCTTGTGTCCGTCGACTCCATTTTTCTTCAACACTTTGTATGATCCCTACAGAGATGGCGCGGATTTCGTCCGTGGATACCCATTCAGTCTCCGTGAAGGTGTACCAACGGCAGTTTCACATGGTCTTTGGCTTAACATTCCTGATTATGATGCACCGACCCAGCTTGTCAAGCCTCTTGAAAGAAACACGAGGTCAGATAGCAAACGCGGTCATCCTGTTATAAATATTATTATTAATCTGGACACTAACTTAGCACTGTCTACAGGTATGTTGATGCTGTTATGACGATCCCAAAGGGAACTCTCTTCCCCATGTGTGGTATGAACCTGGCATTTGATCGTGAGTTGATTGGCCCTGCTATGTATTTTGGACTCATGGGCGATGGACAGCCTATTGGACGCTACGATGACATGTGGGCTGGATGGTGCATCAAGGTATAGTATTAAGAGGCAGATCCATTGATTTTATTGTGATACAATTGAATGGATTAGTTACATTTCGTGTTGTTGTATAGGTGATATGTGATCACTTGGGAATGGGAGTGAAGACAGGTCTGCCATACATTTGGCACAGCAAAGCCAGCAACCCATTTGTGAACCTAAAGAAAGAATACAAAGGTATTTACTGGCAAGAGGAGTTGATCCCATTCTTCCAATCGGTTGCCCTTCCAAAGGACTGCAACTCTGTCCAAAAATGCTACCTTCAACTCTCAAAACAAGTAAAAGCAAAACTTGGCAAGGTCGATGATTACTTCAACAAGCTGGCTGATGCCATGATCACATGGATTGAAGCATGGGATGAGCTCAATCCATCGACAACACCTAATGGTACCTCAAAATAGACAAATATCATTGTCGTTTTATTATTTTTTGTTAAAAATTATATTTTGCGGTAAGGTTGTTACTAGTCTTGTTATGCCCGGAGAGTTGAGGGACAATATTTATGTAATTTAATTTAATTGAAAAACCAACCATTACAAACTTTTCTGAGCTGCCGGCTGCTATTAGATTTTAGAAGCATATTCCTTAGCAAGTTGTCTTTTGTTTTTTGTTCCCTCAAACTCAAAATTTCCACAAAGTTTGGCATAGAGCTATAAGTTTGGCCTAAGAAAAATCATCACATTGGGACCGGCCTAAATAAATTGATTAGGCAATCAATTATAACAAACATTGTTAAAACAGTAAAAGGATGTAGACGTTTTGTAATAATAGGAAGATGCATCTTTTTTAAATAATTCAAAAAAATATAGCGCCGCTGCCGGGGATCGAACCCGGGTCACCCGCGTGACAGGCGGGAATACTTACCACTATACTACAACGACCTTGTTGCCAGTAATTTGAGTTTTGATGTAACATCATCCACCATTTCAACTCAAAATAGAGTGAATAACTGAATATAATAGAAGAAATCGATTCTCTGATACTTATAACGTGACAATTAATTATCATACAAATAACTAATCGCACACTGTTTGTGCTCATCCTTAGTTGCCATGCATAACATTATTTTCTGCATACACTCTTCGCAACAAGTCTGAGGCAAAGAGGTTTCCAGGGCTGAACTTTTAAAAGAAATAATGCACTTTTTATAATGAGTGATGTTCATGAAACACTTGAGCATCTATTCCATAAAAAAGGGTGCATATTTAGTACTACACAGATTAACTGAGACTTACAAGTCATGATTATTGTCAATTGTCAAAGAGAAAGAAAAAACATTATTATTGAATGAGACAGCACCATGAGGAAAATAAAAACAAAAAAGGAGCAAACAAGCAGTGAACATCAAGATTCCAAAAACTTACTCCCTGATACTTCCACCTCTGTAAAGCTGCGAAAGGTGTGTGCTTCTTGATTGAGTTGCTGCACACTACAGCAGTTCAACGCCCACCGATTATGAATTTAATCCAGACATTTGCATCTGCAAACATCAAGTGTAATTTAGGGCAAGAAAGGCAACATAACAAGGCATGATTACTTCATGCGATTTTAAAAAAACAAAGATCTTTCTGTAATCACCAGACTGAAACATGTGACAGGGTTGAGCAAAACATGTGATAGAGCAGCACTTTTTCCTACCTGCTCAAGTGATTCTGAGACCGGGAAAAGCATTGCCGTCTTGCTTCACTTGAACGGAAAACCTTTGGTGCTCCACACGCTGAAGTTGTGATGACAACTGGAGCAAATCAATAGTAGGTCCATCTTCACAAGAAAGTTGATTCTTAGAGTTCACCAAATCTGATCCTTGAATGACACGATTGATAC